CTTTCAATACAGTCTAAAACACACGCAAACCATAAAGGCTCTCTAGATGAAAGATGCTTTGTAAGTGGCAGGTATGACTGTTGAATTGTATTGTTAACCCTAAATGGGACAGGCAAATAACAAGTACGCAACCAGTAGGACCTGGCCTGAAGAAAACTATCTGTAAAGTAAGCAGTGTAGCTGAACGCCTCTGATACACCAGCTCAGCAACAAGAGAGGAGAAACCTCAGGTCAGGAGAACGGCTGAGGACAGAAGAGGAGAAACAATAGCTGGAGACCACAGGTATACTTTTTGGGAAGGGTTGAAGGAGAAAAATCTCAGCCTCGGCTTTTCTATTTCCCTCTTAATAAAGTGTACATTGGAATACAAGGAAACACAGAACCAGTTAGTTCCAGGCTGGCAAAGATGAATCTGCTTTACAGAACTGTCCTTAAAAAAATTGAATATCTCAGAACCAACCACAGGAAGTAACTGGTGCAAGATATCCCTGAACCCAAAACTCTAGACGTATCACTTCAAAATGTTTTAAAGACCTTTACATCAGATTTAGGGAACAAAATAAAAGATAAACTATTCTGCACCCTACTTTTTCCTCACCAAGGCTTCAGGTCATTAGGCAACTTCTTAACTGTCTCAGGTAAGAAAAGATATTCTCTGGAGGTAATTTTCTGATTTTGCACTAACAGGTTTTTTGCAATGTAACGTATCTGGACATACTGACCTCAATCCCTTGTGACAGCGTCAGACAGAACACAGAAGTTAAAGCTGCAGATCTAATCTGATGCCTCTTTACTTGTGGAGAGGTTTTTTCAAAAGGAGAGAAAGAAACTACGACTTCTTTTAGGGGAAAAAGTCTGAAGAAAAAGCAGAAAATACACCTATTCTTTAACTTTCTCTTCAGTATCATTTTAACTCTCTGCCCAGAAACTCCAACATAAGCCTCTCGATTGCAGAAGTCACAAGAGAATCAAGTGTTTGCAGAAGGCTGTAAAAGCAGAAGAGATGTTTCCTATTCCACTTTTGGGTCATAGTCTAACTGAATAAACTCAGCCCCCTAAAATTTTATTAAGTTTAAATAAGGATTTATATGTTTGGAAAAATGGTGCTTAGAAACAAAATTTAAGAAAAAGAGAAAGAGAAAGGAATGAAGAATGTAATACAACCACAGGAAAGCAGAGGTGTTTCCCCCTTTCACTGTTCTTAATTAAAATAAAAAATAAAATAAACCTGAAACTGAAAAGGATTTGTTTAGTCCTCCACTGTCATCAGTGCTGATGGCTCTGGGACAGGAAAATGGCAGGGATTTGGGGGCCTGCTCACACCCCTCCATTTGAAGCACTTACCCTGACTAAGCTGGGCTTCTCAACCCCAAGGCGGGCAGCATCTCCCCGGGGTGGTCCTGTCCCTGTCCCCATCCCCGTCCCCGGGTGCCAAAGGAGCTGTCCTCTGACCTGGTGCCCAAGCTCCTGCTTCAGGCTAGGAAATAACTTTCCTTGCACTTCTCCTCCCAGCATCGTCCCTTCTGTGCACCCCCTTGGCACAGACTCAGCCCCGGGGACTCTGCCCTCTCCTCCCACATGCCGTGGGAGTCAACAAGACTGGTGCTGAGAAACTGCAAATTTCCCAAACTCCCTCTGGGAGGCTGAAGAGGCTCAAGAAACTCATCCATAACACCTCAAGTCAACAGTATTAGTATTTCCACTTCTGGTCCTTCTTTCTGCTCCAGGATGAGTTTTGCTCTAAAGGCATCTCAGCATCTTGCAGATGGCTACTGAAGATGCTCCGTCTCCCAAGAGTCACGCTAGAGAAATTTAGGAAGTTACTGCACCTAGATATATACTCCCCCCCACCACCACCATCCCCGCAGCTATGTTAGACTTTCTCAGCTACTTCCCAGTTCATTACAGTGACTTAAACCAATGGCTCTGAACTGAGGCAACTGATGGACAGGTTCACCTTTATTCTGCAGCTCCCGCTAACCTTCAAGGGACAAACAGGCACTAGTAACCTTGTAAACAGCCCCCAAATGAATCCTCAAAGAGTGAGAGTCACAGCCTTCTGCATATCTCCCTGCCCCGGCAGGACGGAGCTGAACTCCCGCCCTTCACCATTCGCATAAGCGTGGAGTCTTACAACTCCATTCCCGATCTTTTGTTCCTTTCTCTGTGATATTTCAAAACTGCATTAATGGTACCAGCTGCAAGGACTTACCAGATCTCTGAAGTGCTGGGACAGCAGCTGGATATCATAGAAGAATGGGCACACCTTCTAAAAACACTGTGACACTCTTGTCTCCCAAGATTGGCATGGGTACCTGCCCTGAAGTTTAAGTGATGATACATCTCACTTGGGCTATTTATAGTTTCTTGCACTTCTAGGCCTATTGTTTGTTGTCAGCTGATGAGACCTGCAATACACACTCAGCACATGATAAATCCCTGTGCCTACATGCAATGTCTCAAGAGAAAGATCCCACGGGGGACACCTCATGTGTAATATTTAAGCCAGGCTAATCTAATTTGGCAACCAAATGGCAAAGACTCTCTATGGCAGAAAGAGTCTATCATCCTTGCAAAAAACACCCAGAATAAACTTTTGAATTACCACAACTGGCAAAAGTTGGCCTGAATAGGGAGTTTATTTTCGGTTTTAATTTTCTATTTTGTTCTGCTTGCAATTAAAAATAAATGGTATAAAGCTGGTTTATAAAAACACTACCAAACAAAAAACCTCTTTACCCAAATTAAAAACAACAACCCATGAGAGGAAAATACTCCACAACGTTTAGAGTTCTGCAGGGACTAGTATACATATAGGGATTTTAATTTTCCATGGCCTGTAAGTGTTATAATCTCTATCAACTGCGTGCACTCTGGGACAATGACTGACACCAGTGCTTGAACTCTGATCGGTTGTTGGCTTCTTTCTTCAATACTGTTTTTAAACTCACATTTGACCCAAGAATTTGCAGGGATAAAGAAGTTTTTACAGCAATCTGTTCCTCTCAAGTCTAACCCACAGGTCTGTTACAGGACATTGTGTCAACAAATTACAGATGTCTGCGAGTCAATGCAACCAGCGTGAACGGCCACAACTTGTCTCAGGGACAAAGGCTTTATTGCTGGAGAAATTACACTGATAGAGATTAAAAGATGACACAGGACATTTAGATGCCAGGTCTGCCTTCATGACTTCACTACTAGTAGTCCTTTCTTTGCATCCATGGCAAATATACCACCACACCTTGCAAGAGTTATTTCTCCAAAATCATTATGTGTTTATATCTCATGTGCTGTGCCTGCACATTACAGGAATAGTTACAACCATTGACTTCTCCAGGATCCTCTAAAGTCATGAGTTCTCTACCTTTTCCAACTCACACACCCTATCTTTAGAGATGTATTCCTACCTGAGTTGCTTTCTCCCGTTACTTTTCAGCGCAAGCCTGTCCGGAAAGAATAGCTCTGACAGCTTTGGTGCTACACAGACTTCTGTTTTAGGACTGCCACATTAACCAGCCCGTTATGTGCTGCTTAGTCATGCTAAAACAACGCTTCACTCTCTAGGACTGGATTAACTGGGACAGCAAAGGGATTTTATCCCATTCATTACCATCAACCACTCTTCCTACTATTTGAAAACAATAACCAGATAGGGAAAAAGAGGAGACATGACCGTTTGTCCAGACTTTGAGGACCTCCAATTATCCAAGCTGCTGTCCTTCTGCTCCTGTCGAGGGGCAGGCTAGTTCTGTGACAGGTGACATGGAAGAGCAGCTCCAGCCCCTGCTAGATGTCTTTTACCTTTCTACCGGGAACTTCTCAGAGGGACATACAAGATCTCTGGGAAAACACCCATGTCATGGAGTGTGGCTGGGAGACTTTGCTACCTTACAGACAGGTTGGGGCCATCCTCGCTTTCCCAGGTGTTCCTCTGAGAAACAAGTGACCCACAGAGCCCCGTGCAACTCAAGATAGCAATGGCAAGGTAAGATGCCACAGAGACCTCTGCCTAGATTGACAGACTGGGCTTACCCTGTCTCAGTTCTCTCTTCAGGTCGCATAGTTATCCTTGATTTACATTTGCTAATGGTAAACCACTATAACGATTTAATAGACTTCCATTGACAAAACATATACAATACTGTGGCTGCCAAAGTTTGTACAGGTCCCCTGCACCTGAGACAGGAACCTGGGAACATTTATCAAAAAAAGGACAGGTAGGAGATGACATCCAAAGACCAAGTTTCCATAGAATTAATGGGAAAGGAGAAAGAGGAACCTACGTATTAAACGAGAATCTCAGAGTTTGCCATGAACTATCAAACTGGTCTGGAAAGCAGATTTCTGCTCCATTGAGAGTTTTTAACAGCATTGGATAACTAAGATAAACAGAGACTGAAGGGCTGCCTGAGACACATACGAAATTATTGAATTATGACATGTTTGAGAAGTTATTTACTTTATAGAGTATTTACATAAGGTTCACTTCCTCTTCATATATAAGCTCAAATATTAAAAAGATCCCCCCCCCCCTTAATGAGGGGACGACATTCAACAGCCCCACAAACACCCATAATTAGCTCTTTTTCAGGCACATTCCTAGGAAAGTTTTCCAGGCAGTCCCTTCCCCAGAGCCCGAGCAATACCAAGGAAACCCCGCTCTCTCACCAGGCAAACGAGGCCTTTGTTTTGGAAAGAAAACACAGGGCATCAAAAGGAAGAGGGGAAAGAGGAGACGGAGTGTAAAGGGATGACCCTGAGACCGAAGCTTTACTTATTGCTGTGCTATAGGCACCTGATAGGCTTTATGCCAGGCTCTTAATCATTCTGTACCTCAATTCACCGCAATTTTAACGAATACAGATCGTTATATCCAGCGTAGAAATTTTAGATCAGAGTTCTGGTAGGAGACAACTTCCTGACTCTGTAAGTGACATAACTATTAAAGCAGCTGATTTTTCTCAATTAGCTGGCCCATCCCCAATGCTTTTGCTTACCTGAGAAGTGTCATGGTTGAATATGACAGCATTCAGGTCTCCACAGTTATAGTGCTTGATGAGATCTTCAGTGGTATATGGAGCCTGCAAACTACCTGCTCGGAGGCTTTCGTGTTGGAGCAGAGTTTGGTTTAGAGCAAACAGCACCTGTAGAAACACAGACAAGAAAAACAGGGAGGAGGTAAAGATACTAGGAATCAAAGCAGCAAAGCCTAAAAGGCCAAACTTTGAAAAACTCTCTTGCACCTGAGGTCTATTGACCCATCCTGGCCCAGTAACAAGGGCTGATCTTTAGGCACTCCCAGCTGGAAAAAGAGTCAGATGCAAGATCCCCTACTAGCAGAAGACCTTATTATAAACCCCTTGGTATTCTGCATAAATTGTAACTTCACAATACATATATATTGCTCAGAGGTCATGGTCTGAGAACTTTTAGGCTATCTGTGCTGACTGCTTGGCTACATGAGTGAATGAAAAAGCTCCTAAATTAGGAAACTTCTATTGCCTCTGACTGTTTCCCGTCCACTAGCTTAAATCCAAAACCCAAACTCACTCGGAAGGTTTCTGATAAAAATCAAAATCTTCTGAACTTCTGAAGTCACAGTTGTTGTACTGGGACTTTCTGAATGCTTCTAGCCACAGAAACTTTAGGAAATTCATTATTACTCTCCTTCCTTTAGTCCTTCCCCCTTCACCCACCCTTTTGCAAAGTGAACAGATACTGAATTGTAACACTGGCCCAGCAGGCTAGTTGAGCGTCCCCATCCCAAACCTGAAAATACCCAGAAAGCAGCACTCTTTACTACGTAAATTTAGGTAACAAAAAAAAAAGTCCTTAAAAATGATATTTTTTTCCTTTCATTACCAAAAAAGCTGCTAAATTTCACATGAATTACCACAAATGTTTTTGTATTTGTGATAGATTGTGGGAGTTACTGAACCACCAAGTCTCGGCTTTTTATGTTCAGCCTTCCAAGAACCTTCCAAAGAAACTTTATAAAAAGTAGATTAATAAATCAGAAGAACAGCAATTAAGACAGTTTGTCACAAATTATATAAATAAGCAAATGCATTTTTCCTAAAATAAAGTGATATGTAGTGACTGCAAATTCAGAGTTCTGAAAAAATATATTGATGTGTCATTTTTCATGAAAAGACTCCTGCAGCCCTCAGCCTCACGTTTCACCACATTTTCAGCTGCTCTCATTTAAAACAGCAGCGCCCTATCCATCCCAAAGAATAACCATCACCTCAAAATCTGGGTAAAGTAACCATGCTGAGCTCCAGCGGGCCCAGCGAGGCTGCATTCTGTGACACATATTCTTACTTACCTTCTTAACTTCCAGCAACTGAACCCACTTTAAGGAGTGAACCCCAGGGGATTTTAAATTTAACAATGTACATATGTATTTGCAGGATGGAAGTTCTTAATAGTTTAAAATTATGATTCCCATTGAACTTTATCTGAAGGAAAGGAAACAGTCAATTGGATTTACTCCTGCAAAACCTCAGATATATAACAAATATGATCTGAGATTTTTTAAAAAATAATAATAATAACAACAATAACAATAATAATAGCAGCTCCAGGGCATTAACAGCCTCTTAATACAAAGCTGTTACATGCTAACTAACATACACAAATTGGTTGAGGAAGAGCAAATGTTATTGTTTAATTTACTTTTAAAAAAAAATAAAGATGGTCTTTCAACTGAACCTGTTATACTTCAATTCGGTAATCGGTTCCCCATTAAGATCAAGGCCTAAAAGATTTCCTTGCCCAGATCTAAGAGTCTCTTCAGGCTTTTCTACAAAGAGATCAATCTTTCCCAGGACCACAGCCTGAAGTTAAGCATCTTCCTAACTTAGTTTTTCTCTAATTTAAAAAATCTGCAAAAAATACAGTTTGAAAAATTTCTAACCTTTGAAAGGATCTGAGCTTTTTCTTTTTCCCCTAAGGGCTACAGCTCGAAGAGGAAATAGTTCATCCCAGGATTTCCTGGGGATTCTAAACATTTTGGCTAATAAAAATAAAAGCTTAGAAAAACGTTGACAGGAAAACTGAGAGCAGAGGTTTTCCCAAAATGCTTTTAGCAAAATCCTTCTCATTTTTGATTTTTTAAACAATGGATGTTGCTGGATTTTTACATACAAAAATATGTATACACACAGGCACACACATATACAAACCACCATCAAACCCTGAGGATAAGACAGTGTGTTTTATGATAAAATATTAAGAAGGCGATAAACAAATCCTTACTTTACTCCCCATGCCTTTTTTTCTTTCTTTCTTTCTTTTTTTTTTTTTTTTTAATTCTGGTTTCCTGGGGAAACCAGTGCTGTGCATTAATGCTCTGGGTCTGTCTGTCTCCTCCTACTAAATTTGGAACCCATTAGCTGATTTCAGTCACATTTGCAGGGAGTTAGAAGTCTTAAAGAAAATTGACTATATATTCCTTGTGCCGGGCTGCAGAAAAGCCCACAGTACGAGCTCACTTCTTGTAAGACACCAAAGACTCCACATGAGACACAATGAGTTATTTGGAGTTTACAGCAGTAGATGGACCCGAATGCACCGGACCCCAGACTTCATTAGTGTCAGGACCTTCGTTTCCCTGCTCTCTGCCCCTGAGCAGCTTTGGGACCTACAGGTGATGCTGGCCACCAGCTGAAGTCCAGCACGCTGCTACCCCTGCCGGGGAGCCCATTGCTGCGTTCAACCTACTGCCCGAAAAGCAACTGAAGAGATTTTATTTTAGAAGGGAAGTTAAAATCAGAAACTCAAACACTTGAATATGCTGAAGGAAAACTGTAAGCACTTAAACAGATTTCTAGAGAAGTCTTGCTTAATCAAGCCATAACCACTATGGTTTTTGGTCAGGCGGCTCAAAACAAACTCAAAGAGAAGTGGGGTCTCGTTGCAGCCGCCTGCTCCTTGGCTGGATTTGTAGACCATTTCCTTCAGAGTCAGGTTAAAGCCATCTTAAAACCTGAATTTATTTTTCCTTACTGTTCAGATAATGCCACAAAAACAATGCTGTTTCCTTTCCTTCTCTCTATCTTAATATCAGTGACCCCACGACCTCCAGCCTAAACCTCTATCTGAGTTAAATCTCCCAGAGGTGCCTGAGATTACTGAACAACTGATGACTTCAAAAGAAACACACTTAGAGCAACTGCCTATGGACAGTCCCACCTAATAAATAGAGCAGACAGTATTTGTTCTGGGAAGTGATGGGAAGTTATGATTTTGGCTCTGGGAAAGTGCAGTTTTAATCATGCAATTTATGGTCCTCACATCAGCGTGCTTTGAAAGCCATTTTTGCCCGGCTGTCTCCGGCCTCCGTTTGTGACCGATCAACCATGGACAACAGAAAGGGAGGTGCCAAGAGGAAGCCTTTTCATCTGAGCAATGCCATTCTCCTGTGCAAAGCAGCAACCCAACACACAGATTTTATGTGGGTGTTTGGAGACACCAGTTCAGCCCTTGGGGCAGACCTATGGGTCCTGTTTTACTGCCTAGGAGAGTGGGTACCGCCAATTCCATGCAGCGCCAGCAACCACCAGGCCAGACTTTCTAGCAGCTCTTTTGCACAGTATGGCCATCTCAAGCATAAGGGGGCTGGACCAGTCATTTCTGCCACAGTAAGTTCAGAGGGGATGCAGCAGAGCTGGGGAGGGGGACAGCTCTTGTATCACTGGTGACTTCAATTGAAGGAATCCCAGGAGAGGGGAGGTCTACAGAAACCCCAAGTTTCACTTCTTGGTGAACAAGACTGGGACATTTCTTATGTTTGTGCCAACTGTTCTCACCATCACCCAGCAGTATCTGTGCTGCCGCCTCACTTTAACCTTTGCTCTTTTGCCTCTATGATCTTGGGCACTTCAGTTGCAACCAGATCTGCAGAGATCAGCCTTTGCCACCCATGAGCAAGCTCACTCCAGGCCTCGACAAGGGACCAAACAAGCCTAGTGAAGACCAATAAAGCAAACAGCTTTACTGATTACCTTGACACTCAAACAGTATTTCCTCCCCACACGCCTCTGGATTACAGAGCCAGGAGTCACACATTAATGGAAGGCATGGGTTACAAAAGCCTACCTCACATATAAATCAACTTGAATGTTTAAGCCATTTAACTTTCAACTTCAAAAGATGAAATATTAGAAAACCTTCAAACCCCTCATATGAAGCAAGCAGACAAAACTGCATGGGGTCTTAAGGTTTCAAAAGGGGCTGTATTGCATAGAAGTATTGGTATATACACAACAGTATCAACCATTGGGACAGTTTGAACTTCGTTTTGCAAGCCCATGGGAGTCGGTGGTTTGATTTTATGTGAGATTTTAATGAGATTTAGCTTTTAGGCAAGTAAACCCAATCCATAGAAACAGATCTAAAAAAGCATTGCCACCTTTTCAAACAGGGAGGGGAAGTGAATAGACGTATACCTGGACTGAGCTTAGGAACACTTGAGGCTTTCCACCAGAAACCATGTTCTTCATTGTATTTGGTTTTGGGAGCAAAGCTAGATAAAAATTCCACTTGTTCCAAGGTACTCTCAGAAACCTTCATGTATCGTGTTTTATTGTGCAACAAGTCTGCAACTTCAGACTAGACATTTGAAGGCTCCTGAAGGCCAGCAGCATGTTAGTGCTGTATGTAGTAGCTAAAGAGGAGAAATCATGGCCTTTGTAGAGGAGATATTTCTCCTCATCCATCTTAAGTGCATTTGGTCCCAGCTGAGGAGAGTAAAAAATGCCCAGAAAACAAAAACCAAGTTATCCCTCATCAAATACAGTATCATGCCTGGTTTATGTCAGCTGCTCGTAAGGTCTTTTAGTCATGAGGTCCTGAATGGCATAAAAGAAGAAATAAAATGTTCACTTTTCTAAAAGATGCTATTCAGTATATGGATTCTTTGCCACGATCATTACCGAACATCAGCTCAAGGATGCAGAGTTAGCTGTATCCTTTCAGCTCTACATTTTTAATACTTTGCATAGATGAGTGAGTTGACTTTGGTTGATTACCCTGAATGCTCACATGCTTTGTCAGAAATCGATTTCTGACAGACTCTGACAGCAGTTCGACTCTGTGCCTATGACCTTGTTCAGGAGGCAATACTATGGATTTCTATCCA